CAGAGTAAACAGACAATTCCACTCGGCTGCTTCTGTGGGGGCAGAAAGCAACTCGGAAACTGGAATCTGACAATGCTCCGAGCAGCTAGCAGCATGCTGGAACACCCACGGGGCTTCCCAGGCACGCACGCGGGGGAAGAGAATGGGTGGGCAAGGGGCTCCCACAGGTCTGGAGCGAACAAACTGCACAGAGGCCAGCACGGGGTGGGTGTGGGAGAGCCCAGGAACTTCCTGGGTGATGGAAACAGTCAGTCCCCACACAGCAGCACTGCACTCTGATCAAACGCATCACGCTGCCCTCAAAGTGTGCATTGTACTGTGTGCAAGACACGTTGAATTTTATAGGTGTTGCCGTAGGGCGTGTGCACTTGCCGGAGACCGAGAAAGACAGAGAGTGGGAAAGTGAGAAATCGCCCTCCAGAGGGTATGGCCACACCGCCGTCTCTTCTCCATTCAGCTCTCTGGATTTGGGGCATGCACACACATGCACCTGGCCTGACTCTCAAGCCGTTGGGTATGGAACTCATGCACACACATGCACCTGGCCTGACTCTCAAGCCGTTGGGTATGGAACTCAAGCCATGGTCAGCCACATGGAGTCCAGCACTTTACCACGTCACCTGCTGGCCCTTATAGTTCAATCTGAAGAAGTTACGAACCAGTCACAGAGCCCTGCGCCTCAGGGCCGTTGGTGAGGTGATGCAGAGGTGCAGCTAAGCCTACACTCACCTGCATCAGTGTTCATGGCACTGAGAGCCGCCACAGTGAGAGAGCCTGAGAGACACATGGTGCCGGCTCGATTCAACGCCCGACACCCCGTCCTCCCATGACCCAGCCTGTAAGGTGAGGCACCGATCGTTGAGACCGTGTGCTTCCAGGCTGGAGGGCCGAGAAGAGCCCTGGCTGCTCTGAGCTGGTGCGGGCACCAGATGCCGGACTCATGTCTGACTCACACTTGTACAAAGGCGACTAAGCGGACGTGAACCATGACATGCCCCCACGCTACTCCTTAACCTGACACCAAGCAGGGCGTGTTACCCACCTCACCACGCCAATGCTACAGCCAGCTCAGCACGGGGGCGCTCACACAGGTGCTGGGCCCTGAGTGTCTGTGACCCCTAAACTAATATCCTCCCTCCAATGGGAGGGTATTAGGAGGCGGGGTGTTTGGGAGGTGGTCAGGCCATGGACAGGAACCCTCAGGATAGGGTTAGTGCCCTCTTACAGGCATGAAGAAACCCAAGCTCTCTGCTCCCTGCTATGTAAGGATGCAACCATGTCAAGGCCATGTCAAGGCAAGGGGACAGTCCTCGCCATACCCTGGGCCTGCAGCGTGCTGACCTCAGACTTCCAGAAGCCAGAGCTGGAGAAGGGGACACTGGTTTAAACCACCCAGGCTGTGGCAGCCCCTTACAGCTCCTGAACGGGCCCAGCACAGGGTTCAACGAGCTAATGGGTAACCACTGCTTAGAACGGCACCTGCTCGCAGTCAGGACTGGCTGTTACTGATTTGACGAGCGTCTCGTTGGTATGAAGAAGGGCTGTAACAGTCGCGACTTTCGGTTATTTAATAATGCGTACAGCAGGTCCCGTGGGGCCTATGGGAAGCAAGTGGGGAAATGCACGCGGAACAGCAAATCGCTCTCACTGGTTTCCTTGCAAGGTTTGGCTTTTGTTTCTCTTTTCCAGCTCTCCCATCCCCAGGGTGAGACAGGCACTCTATCCCGGAGTGCGGGCAGAGCAAGGTGTGTTTGCTGAAGAAGTCACCTCCTCACACAATGAATCCCCCATGGAAGCACCTCCTGCCTTCCCGGGAAGAACTGCGGGCCCTGCAAAGCCCGTGCCCCTGCTGCAGTCAGTGTTGGACTCTGCTGGGAGCCGGGCACTTCCGGAAGCTCTCACAGATCTTAATTTAGCAGCACTGAGGCTGAGGAAAACTGCACTTTCATTAACAGTAAAGTCAGAGACAAGAGACGACACCCGACCCTAATCTAGCAGTAGCCCGGCCACGACCAGCTGGACCAGAGCTGCGCTCCCCACGCAGGCGCGTCTTACCCTCATACAGCCAGTCGCTGAGGCCGTTGTAGATCACGCCCTCCTTCCCGGTGGAGACCACGCGGATGGCCTGCTTCCCGACGTGCGCGCAGTAGTAGATGTTGTTCTCAAAGATAAAGATCTAATTTGGAGAGAGAGAGAGCGCAGTGTCACCAAGGACGCGGTTGTGAAGTGGACATGCTTTCCAAACCTGAAGTCAACACGGTTTTCATTTTCCTGTCCCCGTGTTGATGGAACAGGGCAGGATGAGATCGTTGGAGTTCACTCACTCCCACACGGCTAGAGTTAAGGGTTCATGACAGACTCAGAGTCCGCAGTGTTCACCAAAGTGACCACGTGCCACGGCCAGCCCATCTGTGGTCCCACACCCCGGGCACCAACGCCAAATCAGATGGGCATTTTAGCGACTGTGCTGTGCAAGACAGGACGGGTGGGCTGGGAAGCTAAGTCGGGGCTTTACTCAGTCGACACTCATGAGCCATGCTGCAGCGGACACGCCCACCCCTGGGACACAGCGGTGACGAGGTGGGAGCCTTCACTCTACTTGGATCTGCTAGGGAGACCCCATTCTGATAGGGTCCATTAGACCTGGCACACACAGTGGGGCTGCCCGACTTAGGGCAAAGGCAGGCACAGCCTCCCTCAGGAGTGACTGGAGTCAAAATTTCATCATGATAAAACACACAAGACCAAAGTTACTTTAACCACCGCTAGGGGTACAGCTCGGGGGTGTTATGCACACTCATAATGTCCAGCCCTCACTGCCATCCACCCTTTCTCAACTCCCCCACAAGAAACCCTGCATCCATCGACATCAACGTCCCCCTCCGTCCTCCCAGCCCAGCTCCCCCCGGGCAGTCTCTGCAGAGCTGCACACCGTGAGGCCTCCGTGTCCGTGTCCTTTCGTGCCTGACCTTCCCCTTCGCGAGTGTCTCCACGGTCCACCCAGATGCAGCACATGCGCGAGGCTCGTGGGGAGCAGAGAAATAGGGTGACCCAGATGGAACAGCGTGAGGGAGGACTGGAAAG